GTGACCAATACCGGAAAAGGAATATTTAAAAGTTGGAAAAATGTTCTTTCCGGGAGAGTTGAAAGGCAGACAATGTTTATGAAATGTGGGGAGGAAAATGCCAAGGGAAATAGAGAGGCTCAGCCAGTTTTACTGAGCATTCAGGAGCTCTCTGGGATCCACAACGCCTATGACTTAGCACCTGAAGGGATTAAAAGCTTTTGAAAAGGCTGATCTTTTAGAAAGAACTGGCAGGCAGAGAAATAACCCAGGACAGCACCTGACATATACTAATGTCGAAGAAGTTTGCTCGGGAAGGCAAGATACTATCCAAAAGACTCATCAGAAGAAATCAGGGCCCAGCAGGGCAGGCGTGGGAAGCCAGACAAGCCCACCTGTTCTTCCTAATATCAGAAATGTGAGAACAGGGACACTCACCTCCCAGCCCTGAACATCTCTGTTCTTACTGCAGGCATTCAGGAAGGACCTGGAAGGCAGCTCTCACATAGTTCCTTAAAGTGAAGACACTGTATCTCATGCCTGATGTCTGCACAGCAGTCTGTGGGAAATACCATCGAGAACTCAGAATCAGTAGGATTCCTACAGAGAGAAACCACATTTCTCGTGAAATCAGGAGACACACCGCATGGGTCGGCGTCAGGGAGCAGTTACAGCAGATGCCAACACACACGATGGTGGACAGAACCAAGCCACTTTCTCCTTCCTCTCCTCTAGCAAGTAAATGATGGTATAAGATCCTCTGCAGGGTGGGTGGGGAAAGAACCATCTGTTTAATGCTGCCAACAACCCAAGGCAAGTGTCAGCATCGCCAATACTCAGATGAGCCTGGCTGCTGGCAGGAAGCAGGGAGGGACACACGCCTATCACTCTTTGAACTAGCCAGGGAGGAATTAGAGGTGGCAACCTCAGAACTCATCAAACTGAGCCTTGCTCTCCCTGGTGCAGGCTCCTAAGTAACCAGAGCAGCCACACAGCACAGAGCAGATGGAGAGGCCATGCAGGCTTCCTGGAAGTTTCCATCCTCAGGGCTGCTGGTTCCCTGAGTTCTGCATGACCTTTTAACTCACACAGGGACTATGTTGATGCTGTATTCAGAATCTCTAGGGTATCAGAGGTTATAAGAGAAGCTATAGTCAGACATACCCACAGATAAAATGTTTAGCAAAACTTTTGTTCTCAATATTGTTTGTTATATTTATTATTTGTTATTATTGTATATAGTTGTATTTGGTTTAGTTCTGTCTTATTTAGACAAAAAGGGGAGATATAGGGATAAGTCCCGCCCCTTAGGGGGCATGTTCGCTTCGGGCTAATGTCTGCCTATAAATTTGGTGAGCGTGCTCCCAGCCACTACTTCTGCTTTCCTGGTCTCCGCCGGAACGGTGGTTCTGTAAGTCTATTTCGCCATTAAAGCTGTGTATATATTTTTACAATCTGTCTGCATTCGTTTACGCCGTTACAGAGGCGCTTGGCCAGCGTCACCCTGAGAGAAGACTGCTCTGAATTCTTAGTTTCCTACCCCAGCAGCCGCACTGATGGGTCACTGAGATTCTGCTTAGTCAAAGAATGGGTAAGCAAACACACAGGGTCGCACTGATTTAAAACAAGCAACAAATGACAGCATTTACACCCACTGCTGTGGCTCCTCTTCCTGTTTCCAACCTGGCTTCTATTCTGGAGCAGGCTCAGTAATGCGGCTTAAGCCCCTAGAGTCCCATACCCCACTGCAGAAACCGCAGCCTGGTTCTGACATGCCTAATACATCCTTCTGTTTCGGCACGAAGCCGCTGAGTACCTGGGGAGAACCCAGAAGCCAGTGCCTCAGCTCATTACCAAGTGCACCCACATGAGAGAACGCAATTTACTCTGAGAACTGGTGAGTTTCCACCCAACAGATCCACAGTATCTCAGGCCGGCCTGAGGGCAGCTTACAGCAAGATTGTATTAACCTCCAAAGTCTGCTTTAAGCCCACCTTCACTGAGCCTGCCTAGGCATTGCCTCTGTAGATACAGGTCAAATCTGCCTCCTTCCCCAGGACAAGAGGAAAACATCAAGGCAAGCAAGACATACATGTGATGTTATGGGCTCATCACATGTGTTCTGGGATATAAGCTGCTAGGAAAGCCCAGGGAACAGGACTGCATGTGTGTTCTGTGAGGTTCTGAACACACGGATCAGGGAAGAAATAGGCATGTTCTTAACACCTATACTGGATAGGATGCTATGTTGGTTTTGTATTTCGATTTATCTTCTTACCGTCCCAATGAAAAATCAACAGATGTGGAGCCCCGGAGTTCAACTGTGGAAGTCTGAGGCTGCTCAACTGGAAAGCCAAAGGGTAGGTTTGATCCACAAATATCTTAGCTGCCCAAACTCATGGTTTTAGATAACTCAAAATGTCGTATGTCAAAGAACCCCCAAATGTTTGTATAAGGAGCCCACAGGACAGACATCTCTCTTGATGTCTCCTGGCAAGGCCCTTCTTCACCTGAATGATGGCTTATGAAGTGCCCTGTAGAGGACACCAATGTCATCTACTAACGATATCTAAGACGCTGCACAGTCTCTCACCCTGTGAGGCCTGTTCAAACACTAGGAAGTGCAGATTTGAAGGAATCCACTGAAACTCTAATGGAGACTGTGACCTCTGGAGCTGGTCCCAGGTTCACCTCCTCCGCTAGGCAGATGGTAGCTTGAAGCTCATTAGCATGGGCCTCTTCCTCAGAATTCCAGCTTGTAAAACTGGGACCTCAAACTTCAGAACTCTGACTGCTGGCCAGAAGAATGGGATCCGAGTCAGATGTCTGGGCCAGAGTGGAGACGTGACAATCTGAACTGTCACACCGTTCAGTTACTCTTGAAGAGGAGACTCCTTCCAGCGAAGACCAAAGACCACCACTGTCCCCACCAACTGAAGTAAGCCTGTCAATCACCTAGATAGGGAAACACTCCTCAGGAAAACCTACCCAACTATGGAGGTTAGTACAATGGCCTCTGGGCCACAAGCTGCCATCCTTTCTTAAGAGGGCTCCTTTGTAGTAAACCTTTCCTGTCCTCTTCAGTACACTGTGGGTCTCATGGGAGTTCTTTTGAGGGAGACAAGGGTAAGTTACTGAGGAAAAGATACTGAGGATACAGATACTAAGTTTCGGTGTCGTTTCTATGACCTGAAGTTTCCAGAAAGAGAACTTATTGCCTTCCTGGAACATTCTACAGATGAATTGACCAAAAGGACTTCAACAATGCTAAGATGTAACAGTGTTGCTGATTCTGAGACTATCTTGGGCTATCTTGGCCACCTTGAAGAGCCTTTTATTGCCCTTCTTTATACATGACCTAACGCTCTATTAGACCCATCTTTTCGAGATGTATGAAGTCAAAAGTTAAAAATGTCATCATTCTATTACCTATGTGAGGCTTTAGCAGCTTCGCTCTAACCTGACGTTCGTTCCTACAATGTATCATAAAATGTCTTGATTTATGACTTCTTTGTTCTCTTGCTACAAAAATATCACAAAACTCTTATGCTGGAACATAAAATTTGGGGTAAACTAAATCTGTGTTCTGGAACCATGGTCATTCATATTTGGCTCCAGAAAAAAATTAATTCCTATCCCCTTCAAGGTGAGAGCTGGGGGTTTTATGCCATAGCGGAAACCTGTTAGTGAGCAAACACTTCTCAGTCATGAGGACCCTTACACAGTCTGTTCCTACTTGTGTTTGAGATCTCCCATAATAAAAGCCAAGGGAACAACAGGCCTGGGCCCCGCCACTGCAGTGGGACACGGATTCCTGGACTACAGGGCTCTGCCACTGCAGACCCTCACACCCACCCTAAGACAGGGTGACAACCATTGCCACTTTCTCCATAGGACATGGACTGAGTTCTAGCAGTGCAATCGGCATGAGAACTCAGGTCCACTCTAAAACTTCATTTTCCACTAGAAGCTTCCTCTCCCTAGTGTTTTCTAGCAGCTGCTCACAGAGAAACCAAGGTGCAGTGTGGTCATGCAATCCCTGTAGAATCTGAGGACTAAATGCAGACCAGACCACCAAGACACAGGCAGCCCTTGCTCTGTTGGTGGGAAGAAAGGCTGCTCTTGCCATGCCTTCAGGACATATACTCTGAGAGGAGGAGTCAGCCAGCAGCCTGGGGCCACAGTGGAAAACAGGGAATGGCTGCAAGCTTCCCCTCCAATTCCTGGTTGAGCAGGGCCTTGGGGCTGTGGCCTTCCATCTTTCCAATACCACCAGCTATTGAGGCTCGAAAGAGCCCCAAGTTCCCCACACTTGAGAGCTTGTTGTCACACACTCTGCCCACCCCACACTTGACCACTGACCCTCAGGGTGGGAAGTGGCTCCTAGTCAGTCACCCATGTTTGCATCTCCAGACTTCAGCTGGAGTCTTTCATCTTCTCTCCCAGAGAGGTTCCCTCCAAAAGTCTCCAAATATCCAGTAACATCCGTGAGTGCTGTCAGCGAGTCATTAACCACCACTGAAAATAGGAAAGCCCTTCCCTCCTTGCAAGTCTCTCTGTAATCAGCAGTGACAGAGCCAAGAGACACCCGTGAAACACTTACCAGGGATCTGACTTCTAAGGAGGCAGCTCCATCAGGCACCAGAACCTGGGAAGCTGCTGCTGGAATACAATGAGACTCAGGCCAATTTGCATTTAAAACTCAGTTGGACTGCCAAGAGCCTGCATCCATCAGCTAAGAACAAAAGCTAACCTGGCCTTTTACCACTAGGAATTAGGGTGTGTTGCCATTTGCAAATATAGCATCCAGCAAGAAAAGCTAACCAGGCAGAAAGCCTGTGTGGTCCAGTGAGAACTCTCACTTTGCTCAAAGAGGTCAGTTAGCACTCAGACTTCCTCCTTAGCCTTACAAAAATCTGGTCAAGATGCACCATGTTCCCGCTAGTGCAGAACAGTAGCAAGCTAATGGGGAGGTGGAAACAGCCCCAGGGGAAGGGACACAGAACAAGACAAACACCCAGTTTAAGACTATTATCTCCTTTATTCAAAAAATAAATATTTCACTTTGAATCAACATATTTCAAATCCCATCAAGCACAGAGCAGAAATGCTGTCCCCTTAGGAAGTCGTGAGCAGGAGCAGGAGAGCATGTTGCAGGGATGGGAGGGAGGTGGCACTGATTCCAACCAACAGCCTCACCCAGAGAGTCCTCGGCTCCCCAGGCGCAGTTATGCATCAATTTCAGCAGAAAAAGAAACACACGCACACACACACACACACACACACACACACACACACACACTGAAGTCTGAAAGGCACATGAAGTGGACCATCAGGTGTATGGCACATTCACTGATAAAATATTCCCTATTCCCTCCCCCAAACAAGTAGAGAAATTTTTAGTCAAGTCAAAGAGCAGAGAAGATAGGGCCCTCCTGCTGAGAGCTCGGAGCTGTAGACATCTCTGCAGAGGAGAGCTGGAACAGAGGGGCTCACTCGGTGACTGCGGGGCGCGTAGCCACATACACGAACACCACGATCAGGAGCACCACCACAGCCAGGGTGGGCAGCACCACTGTGGTGATCTGCTGCCGGGCCTCCTGCATGGCCTGCTTCCGCTCCTTCTTGTCCTTGGATGTCTCCTTCTTTGGCTTCCCCTTGAGCTGACGCATCTTTGCTAGAGGATGCTGGGAAGATGCGTCCAGAGAGTTCCCGGAAGAAGGGCTGCAATCCTCTGTCCCGGGCCAGGAGCCTCTGCAAGGAGAACAACTGTGATCAGGAAGGAGTGGAACAAAGGGAATAAAAGAAACCTAGAGCTGGGGAGAGGACTCAGTGGGTAAATGATGACACCACATATATGAGGACTTATGTTCAGAACCCCAATACCCTTGTTATGCCAGGAATGGTTGCACATGTCAGTGACCCCAACACTGGGGAACAGAGAGAGGCAGCATAGTCAAAACAAAGAGTATGCAGATTTACAACTTGTAAGTCATGGGCAAGAACAGGTCATGACAAGGTCTGGGCCAAAGGCTACTTCATCCAAACCCTCCTGAGCACCTCCAAGTGCTGGGCACCCTCCAGAGCTGAGCTAGAAGTGGAGTCTGCTCAGATCCATGGTGTCCATGGTCTCACCATCCCTCAACCAGCGTCTGTCTTATGTTAGATTCTGAGGCTCATGGAGATGCTCAGGTGATTGGAAAATGAATAAGACCCTCAAATAACTATAGTACAGTTTCTCTACAAAACTCAGCTTCCTAGTTTTAAGCAACAGAAATATACTTTGGCTGATTCGAATTGAGAATTTCACTCAAAACTTTTGGTACCTCATAGATTCCTCAAAAAGCGAGAAGGCCAGCTCAGAAAATGGGCAGCATAAGGGATGCCATGATGCCATAATCCGAGCCCAGATCCAGTTCCCAATGCACAGGTGCTACAGTCTATGTCTTCTTCATACAGTAGTGCTACCGCCATGCTAGGAACACATGCAATGCTGACCTCATTGCCAGGCCCAGCTCTACACTGCACAGACAAGGATCAAGCTCAACATGTCCACAGTCCACATTCCCACTCTCACATCAGGCAGAGCAACCTCGGACACAGGGACGAGTCAGGGTCAGATTCAAGGCAAGATATAACACCCACGACGATGGCCATGACAACATCCAGGGGGCCCACAGCAGGTGAGGAAGGGCTATGCTCCAGGGCTCCTCTGACAAGGACTTTTATGCCAGAGACCATGCACTCAGTATTGTCTGGGGCTGTGGGGTGGCTTGTCAATGTCTTAATGAGCAAAAAGACATTCACACCCAAGTGACCCTGCTGGGTGGCAGAGAGTCAGGTCTTGATACCTCCCCTTTTCACTGTAAGGGAACTTAATCTCTAACTGTTCCTGTTCCCATCCAGCACCTGGGAGTGTGCTCCACCCCATCTTATGGGTAGGACGATGAGAATTGCTGTGCTCAGATGATGTAACATCAGCCCCAGCTAAGTAAGAAAGTTTGCCCCTCGCTTTCCAACACCTCCATAACACATCTAGGAATAGTGGGTACTAGCAAAAGCCACCAAGTGCTTCCCCAGTGGCCCAGTTATCACAGGTCCCTATCCAGCCTATGGTGCTGCTGAGAAGGGCTGAACCCTTGAGGGGCGGGGCCTAGGTCAGAGGCAAGCCCCTCCTCTTCCTCTCATGTTGCTGTCAATCAAAAGGTGACCAGTATTACTATCACAGGATCCTACCATGTTATGCAGGGGAAATCTAACTGAAACTTCAAACTGTGAGTCAAAACAAACCCCTTCTCTTCGTGGGTTAACTGTGTAGGGCATCCATTACAGGATGTTCTGCAATAGTGACTGCCCAGCACTGATGCTTTTAGTGACTGCCCAGCACTGTTTTGAAGTACAGAAAGTCCAGGCAAGAATTTCCACGAGACTTTGTGACACTGTGTTAAAGTTCACAAGAACAGTTGTTGGGCCTCTTCCTCAGGTCCTGACACCTCTCAACCATGAGATCCAGAGGGACAGGATGGGGAAAGCACGTATCTAGTCAGGGAGGGCTCCACCTGCCCCTGGTCAGGGATGGCACTGGCTGCATGAGACATTCCACACACCTGCACTTGACTCAGGCAGAGGATTGCCGCAGCCCAGACTTGGTGACGCCCATTGCCCTCTCCAAGCCTAGGGTAATGTTGTAGGTAGTGGGTTAAATCCATTACCTTTCTTTTGGACATGGGAGCTACCTACTCTGTTCTAACACCTCACTCGGGTCCTACAATTCACTCACCAACTTCTGTCATGGGGGTGGACAGGACCCGCCCCTTCCCACTTAAGACCCTGTCCCTGCCCTGCATTCTTGCAGGTGATTCTTTTCTTACTCTTTCCTGGTCACACCTGCTCGCCCTGCACCCCTACTTGGTAGAGATATTCTCAGCTCCTTCGGGGTCACACTCACCTTGGCTTTCTTACCTTAACAGCCTCACAAGTTCCTACCCTAGACTGTCCTATCCCTACTCTCTCTGATCCAGTAGATCCCCAAGTGTGGGATATTTCTACCGTCTTGGTTGCTACTCACCACCAGCCAATCCCATTGGACCTTAAGAACCCTCTTCCTTCCCTTCCAGAAATTTCCTATTCCTGAAATCCACTGCTGAGCTGTTAAGCCTATTATCACCCACCTTCTATCTCGGGGAATTTTAATTCCTATCGACTCACCCTGCAACACTCCCATCCTTCCCATGTGTAAGCATTCTGGTGCTTACCGTTTGCCTCATAAATGAGGCGGTTATTCCAATTCATCCAATAGTTAACAACCCATACAATCTCCTGTCTAACGTCCCTCCTGCCACCTCCCACTTTACTGCCCTGGACCTGAAAGAAGCCTTCTTTACTGTCCCTTTACACCCTGATGCATACTTCCTCTTTCCTGACTTCCGGTCCTCCAGACAGCTTATATGGACTGTTCTCCCTCAGGGTTTTCAGGATGGTCCCCATTATTTACTCGGGATCTATTGACCTTTGACCCTGGTCCTAGCACACTTCTCCAATAGGTTGGTGATCTTCTCTGCAGTCCCACATTGCCTCTGTTCTAACAGGCCACCTCTGTGCTCCTGAACTTCCTCAGATCCCTGGGATATCGAGTCTCACCAACTAAGGCTCAGCTGTGCTCTTCTACTGTGGTGTATTTGGGTGTTCAACTCAGACCAGGGTCTAAGACCCTCACCTCTGACAAGGTCCAGGCCCTGCGGGATTTACAGCCCCCAACCACAGGGGCTCAGATCCTCTCATTTTGGGTCCTGTTAGGGTTCTTCCGTCATTGGATCCCTAACTTTGCCATCACTCAAGCCTCTGTACCAGGCAGCCTCTCACCCACCAGGCCATTGTCCATCACCATTTCTCTCTACTGCAAGATGCCCTTTAACAGCCCCTGCTCTTGCTCTTCCAGACCCCATGAGACCTTACCTTCTCTATCCAGATGAGAGGTCAGGAGTGGCCACAGGAGTTCTAACCCAACAGGCTGGGCCTGAGAATCAGGCTGTCGTCTTTTTATTCAAACAGCTGGACCTCACCGTCTGTGGATGGCAACCATGCCTGAGAGCCCTGGCGGCAGCAGCTGAACTTACCCCGGAGGCTCCCAAGATCACCTTGTCCAGGCCGATCAAGGTATATTCCACCCACCGCCTCTCAGATCTTCTGAGACACTCCTCTCTCTCTCTCTCCTTGGGCCTTCACGAGTCCAAGTCTTTCACTTACTGTTTCTAGAAAACCCCCAAATTACCTTGGCCTCCAGTCCTGCCCTAAACCCTGCAACCCTCCTTCCTGTTGGCCTCACCCCATACCTCCTTCCTCTTACTCCTGCCCAGAGGCTGTGGAAGCTTTACGCTCACCTTGGCTGGTCTCCTAGACCAACAACTTACAAACCTCCAACTCGCCATGTTTGTTGATGGATGTTCTCTTACAGAGAACATAGGAAACCACCAGGTAGCATATGCAGAGGTCACTTCTACTAAAACAGTTGAAATGACCCGCCTGCCAACAGAAGCCTCTTTACAAAAGGCACCTGAGCACTCCAGCTAGCCAAAGGTCAACAGGCTAACATCTATACTGACTCTAAATTTGTCTTTTTTTTTTAAATTTATTTATTTATTAAGGATTTCTGCTAAATTTGTCTTTTTAATAGCCCATATCTACTTTGTCCTCTTGAGGGAAAGGGCCTTCCTCACTACCAAGGGCACTCTCATAGTTAAAGGACCCCTTAAAGCCAACCTCTTGGGAGTCCTCCAGCTCCCTGCAGAAGTAGCCATGATCCACTACCGGGGACACCAGTCCTCCAAGGACCCAGTGGCCTTAGGCAATGCCAAGGCTGACTCAATAGTCCAGGGTCTGACCTTCAGACCCTTGGATCAACAGAACATATTTTGTTTCTGACTCCCTCCTTCCAGCCCTGTCATCACCCAGGAGACTGGGCGAACTCATAAGAAAATGGGCCACACAAAGGATTGCTGGTTCTTCTTACATCACCGTCTCACCCTCCCTCAAAACCAGGAGTGTCCATCATTTCAGACATCCACCAGACCTACACATAGGCCCCAGAGCTTTGTTCCATAACTTAGGGCCCCTCTCTGACCCCACCCATCTCCGAGATCGTATTTTCCAGGTTCACTCCTCCGGCTGTGGGGCAGTAGATATGGAGAGAGGAAAGGGAACTGAAGAGAAATGCTCACCGCTCCTTGCAGGGCTCAGGAAAGCCAAGGTCAGTGTTGAGAAGACAACTAAGACAGATCTAAGTTGCACGCACTGGTCACTGCACCATGCCTGTTGTGGAGGATTTCAGTGGGGGATGAGATGGGTTGAGACCAACAATTGCAGGTTGTTATTGATGTCCCAAACTTGTTCTCACTTGTCTAAGTAACAGCGTGCTTTGGAACGTAACTGAGTATGCTGATTCCTTCCTGGAGAGAATTTGGCCATGAAAAACAAACTGGCTGAACACACTCAATGCACAGCTGATGACCACGTGGCATGGACACCTTCATCATCTCCTGAACCGTAAAGAGAGAGGGCACATTTTGGAAAGTGAAGTGCAGACAGCTTGAAGTTCTGCTAGAGGACTCTGTGTGACAAAAAGGGGTTTCTGGTTTTATCTTAATAAGAGGATAAGCAGGGGGTGTTTGGGGCTTAGCAGAATGGAAGAAAATCCTCTTGCTAAAGATGGAAATGGAAGGAGCAGAAATGAGAACATTTTTCAAGGAAGAGAGGAA